GGTCTCTGCGGTTCAGGCTGGAGTGCAGTGGCACGATCTCAGCTCACTGCAGCCTCCACCTCCTGGGTTCAAGCAATTGTCCTGCCTCAGCCTCCTGAGTAGCTGGGATTACAGGTGTACACCACCTGGCAAATTTTTTTATTTTTAGTAGAGACAGGGTTTCACCATGTTAGTGGAGACGGGGTTTCACCATGTTGGCCAGGCTGGTCTCAAACTTTTGACCTCAGGTGATCCACCCACCTCTGCCTCCGAAAGTGCTGGCATTACAAGCATGAGCCATGGCGCCCGACCCGAGTGTTTCTATTTGGGATGATGACAACGTTTTGGAAATAAATAGTTGTAATGGTTGCACAGCACTCTGAAGGTACTTAATGCCACTGAATTGTACACTTAAAATGGTGAAAATAGTAAATTCCATGTTATACAGATTTTGCTACCCACAGTTTTCCAAAGGGATGGGGATGCTGGTAGCAGAAGGAAAAGAAATTACATTAAATAAAAACAAAAGCAATGATCTCTTCAGGAGGGGGCTCAGCTAGTTTAGCCTTACTTTAGCACCATTATGGTCCATTTTATCCAGAATTAGAAACATGGGGCGTTGGGGAGAAGAGATGTGTACCTGCCTCAGCTGCCTCCCTGCCCAGAATGCCGACTCTGACTCTTGTATTCCACTAAGGCTGGGGATTAAATGAAAAGTGAGAATCTGGAAACCCCCAGATATGATGTTTGTCGTTGGAGCTGACTACCTCGTTTTAGCAGCATGACCTCCTCCTCAAACTCAGGATGCAATTATGGTCACATCTCATTTGTTTGCAGTAGTTGCTCAGCTCCAATACCAGATTAGCAGGAAGTCCCGTTATTTTCCTTTTGAGGATGGGCTCCTCCTGAACCGTCCTGGAATCTACCACCGTTCAACTTACACGATTCAAAAGACCCAGGGGACTAGGCCAGTCCGGCTTCCAACCCCAAGCAGGGAGCAACTTGCTCAGTCCACGTTGTGATAGCTCCTCGCTGCCACAAGGTGGTGACGTTGCATCACAGACTCGCATGATGGGCGCGCAGGCGCCAATGCTCCCAGGACCTGCTGTGCCATTCCTAAATGAAAGCTGCTCTCACGAGACAAGGCAGCCGGTTCCCCGCTGGGGAGCTTAGAGGCAAGAGGGCATCTCAGAGAGAGGGCACATTCTCACCTCTGAAGACATCATAGACCAATCAATGCCAGCATTGCACCTTAGGATGGGCAGGGCCACTGTGAGTTAAAGCAAAATGAACGAATGAATGAACCAGTAAGTGTATGAGAGGGAAGCAATCAACAGTTGCATTTGTTTTCGTTAGGAACATTCTAAACACAGGGGAAACCTTCCTTCCTTCTGCTCTGTTGTTGGAGTGGGACATCAATGCTTCTGGTCTCTATTTCTAGGACACCAGAAATCAAGGTATAGAGTTTGGAGAAGGGACTTGGAGAGGTCACAGTGGCAGGTGGCTGCCAAATGGGGTGGCAGAATCCAGCAAGCGCTGGAGAAAGACAATCGGCCCAAACTGTTCACCAGCACCGCCCCCAACCCCCCACTGGCTCTGGTTCCAAGACTTCCCATTTTCTAGGCATTTCTTTGGCCTTAAATCATTTTCCTTTAATTGAACTTTTTCTGTGGAGCCATGCACCCTTTATCCGGTTTCTCCCGATGGTGACATCTCACAAAGGACGGTCCAGTATCCCAACGGCATGTTGCGTTCCGCGGGACAGAGATTTCCTTCACAGGCAACCCCTGGGTTGCGTTTTTATAGCCACACGCACCCGCCTCCCCAACTCCTGGGCACCGCTAATAAGTCCTGCATTTCTCTCCTCTGTTTTTTGGAGAAATGAACCATCCGTCCGTGACCTTTGGGGGAGCATCTTGCATAATACCAGTACACCAGCGGCACCGTCGGTGAGTGACCTTTGGGACTGGTTTCTCTCACCAGCCTAACTCCCTGGGAGATCCGAGCAAGCTGATGAGTGTATCAGGGGCTCATTCTTTCTTTTGCACCACGGACCCTCATTGTGTAACCGGGATACCTGCCAGGGATGCGGAGCGGGAGGCGCAGGGCAGGGGCGTCCCTCTTCTCGGCACAGCGTCCCCGCGCTGGATTTCTATCAATCCAGTTTCCACCTCCCTGGAAGCCAGCAGGGTCCTCCCCAGTCCCGGATCGCGGGGCAAGGCCCCGCGCGGACCTCAGGGGCGGCGAGTGGACAGAGCTTAGGGGCCGGGGCGAGGTGTGGATGGGGCGGGACGCCGGCGTGGAGGCGGGGCCTGGGCGTGGACTGGCGTGGAGCGAGGCGCCGCACCGCCGGGGCGGGGTATGGGCGGGGCTCTGGGGCGGGGTGTGGGCGGTGCTATGGGGGCGGGGTGTGGGCGGGGCGCCGGGGCGGGGTTGTGGGGGCGGGGTGTGGGCGGGGCCTCAGCGTAGCAGGCGTGCTGCGGAAAGACGCCTGCAGTCTCGCGTCTCGGGGCGGGTTCTGGGCTGCTTGGGTTGGCGCCTGTCCCTGGTCCCCGAGGGCGCAGTCGCAGCGCTCCCGCCCGCCAGGCGTCTGCGAGTGCCCGGCCCTGTGCGGCCGGAACCTGGGGCAACTCCGAGAGCGGTCCTTGGGGAGACGCGGGTCCCAGCCCTGAGGCTCCTACTGGGGCGTGCGCTGGTCGGAGGGTGAGTGATCCCCGGTCGGGGACTGGGGGACTTGGGAGGGACAGTTTCCGGACTGGAGGGCCAGAACGCTCCCTGGGATTTCACCTGGCCGGACATACGGCCCTGTGGGTCATCGCGCCCAGGCCAGGAACCATTCTGAACATAGGATCGTACTTGGCTCTAACTGAACGCGCCCGCACGCAGGGCCCCGGTGTCGAATCGTCTGGTTGAATCTGCCGTCAACCCTGTGGAGCAGGTGCTGGTATCATAGTCACATTACAAGTAGGAATCAGCGGGCCCGAGGTCAGTCTGTAAAGGGGGTACCGGGGTTTAGGCCCGTGCGTTGCCCAGCGCTGCCCTGAAGGTGCGGCTGAATCACTGGTTTGCGCTGCCTTTGTCAAGGATATTGTGGCAGTCTGGAAAAAAAAAATCAGCTTCTCTAACCTATAATCTCTCTGAAAAAAAAAAAATAAACTTTTTTTTTTTTTTTTTTGAGATGGAGTCTCGCTCTGTCGCCCAGGCTGGAGTGCAGTGGCACGATTTCGGTTCATTACAACCTCCGCCTCCCGGGTTCAAGCATTTCTTCCGTCTCAGCCTCCTGAGTAGCTGGGATTACAGGCACGCGCTACCACGCCTGGCTTATTTTTTGTATTTTTAGCAGAGTCGGGTTTCATGTTGGTCAGGCTGGTCTCAAACTCCTGACCTCGTGATTTGCCCGCCTCGGCCTCCCAAAGTGCTGGGATTACAGGTGTGAGCCACCGCGCCCGGCCCTGTTTTTCTTTCTTTTTTTTTTTTTTTCTGAGAAGGTTCTCAATCTGTTGCCCAGGCTGGAGTGCAGTGGGGCAATCTCCACTCACTGCAACCTCTGCTTTCCGGGTTCAAGTGATTCTCCCACCTCGGCCTCCCGAGTAGCTGGGATTACAGGAGCCCGTCACCATGCCCAGCTAATTTTTGTATTTTTAGTAGAGGCAGGGGTTTCCCCATGTTGGCCAGGCGGGTCTTGAACTCATTTTTCTTTCTTTTTCTTTTTCTTTTTTTTTTTTTTTTTTGAGACGGAGTTTCGCTCTTATTGCCCAAGCTGGAGTGCAATGGCGCAATCTCAGCTCACTGCAACCTCCGCCTCCCAGGTTCAAGCTATTCTCCTACGTCACCCTCCCGAGTAGCTGGGATTACAGGTGCTCGCCACCACGCTCGGTTAATTTTTTGTATTTTTAGTAGAAATGGGGTTTCACCATGTTCGCCAGGCAGGTCTCAAACTCCTGACCTCAGGTGATCCGCCTGCCTCCACCTCCCAAAGTGCTGGGATTACAGGCATGAACCATTATGCCCGGCCAAAAATCAGCTTCTTTAACCTTTAATCTGTGAAAAAATAAGTCAGTTTAACCTTTAATCTCCGAAGATCTCAGCCAAAGAAATACATGAAAAGGAATATGTATTAGATAATAAACACTTCTAGCTGTGCTGTTTATAGGGCTGGGAAAAAAATGGAAATAACCTAAGGTCCCAGAAATAGGAAGATGGGCACACAAGGGTATGCAGGCAATGGTTTCGCTGCAGCATGAATACACACTGAATACACTGTGAAGTGTTGTCTGTTAGAATGCCCAACAGGGGGCTTGTCCACATGGAAAGAGGCCCAGGAAATAAAGTGAAAACATTACAAAATAACTTCTGCATGCTGATTAAAATCAAATAACGTACACATCAAAAATATCAGAGCCCATTTGACCTGGTATGTACAGTTTAATAAGCACATGGCTCTTTTCTCCTGTAGGCCTGGGTAGGTGCATAGTTTATAACAAGGGAGAGAACTGTCACTGCTGTGGATGGGGTGCCAAGGGAAGTGCCTGGGGTGAAGTGAACAGTGACGCACTGCAAGTCAAGAGCCTGGGTTGGAGTCTTTCTCTACTAATTCAAATAGTATAGAAAATAGAGCTGAGTCACTCAAATAGAGCTGAGTCACTCAGCTCTTGGACCTCAGATTCTTATTCTTAACCACTAGGGGGATGGAGACAGAAGTCACAGATTCACATGCCACCAGGCATATAATGTAAACATGTAAACTGGGCCAAGGAATACAATAGGGTGTGGTGAGCTGGGGACACTGAAGAATGGATGCACTGTCTAGAAGAGTGAAAATGAAGCATTTCATACAAATAACATGTCTTCAGGCAATCACTTTGGGAATCAGGATAAGGTGTTCCCCCAGGCTGCAGAAACACCGGCAACATTTACAAAGGTAAATCATTTCTCATCACTCCTTTTTTTTTCTTTTTTGAGACAGAGTCTTGCTCTGTTGCCCAGGCTGGAGTGCAATGGCAGAATCTTGGTTCACTGCAACCTCCACCTCCCAGATTCAAGCAATTCTCCTGGCTCAGCCTCCCAAGTAGCTGGGACTACAGGTACGTGCCACCATACCTGGCTAATTTTTGTATTTTTTAGTAGAGATGGGGTTTTGCCACATTGACCAGGCTGGTTTCAAACTCCTGACCTCAGGTGATCGCCCCATGTTGGCCCCTCAAAATGCTGGGATTACAGGTGTGAGCCACCGCAACTGGCCATCATTCCATATTACTCTCTAGCTTAAGAGGCTCCAAGGGCTTTCTGTCAGGCTTAGAATAAAATCTCACCCTACCCTAGGAGGGGTCAGACCCCTCCCACCTCCCTCCACCTCCCTGACTGCATCTACCACCACCCAACTCTTTTTTTTTTTTTTTTTAACCATAGTTCAGCCAAACAGGCTTTCTTTTTTTTTCTTTTACTTTCTCTTTTTTCTTGAAACAGAGTCTCACTCTGTCACCCAGGCTGGAGTGCAGCAATCCTCTAACCTCAGCCCCCTGAGCAGCTGGGACTACAGGCATGTGCCACCACACCTGGCTAATTTTTTAAAATCTTTAGTAGAGATGGGATCTCACTATGTTGCCCAGGCTGGTCTCAAATGCCTAGGCTCAAGTGATCCCCTGCCTCAGCCTCCCAAAGTGCTGGGATTACAGGCATAGGCCACTGAGCCTAGCTCAGACTTTTTTGCTGTTTCCTGAACCTGAAACCAGCACCCATCTCAGGCCCTAACTTACTATCCCATCTACCTGGACTTTTGTTTATAGATCTTTGCGTGGCTGGTTCCAGGTCACTGGTCCCTGCTCTGAGACACCTTCCTGGACCACTTATCTAAAATAGCAAACATTCCCCTGCTGTTTGGTCCATTAGAGTACTTTATTTGCTTATCTCTATTAGGTACCATAGTTCTGGTAATTCTGTGGCACTTTCTTTGCTGGCTTGTTTATTGTTTCTTGCCCACCCCTGCCCTCTGCCCAAAAAGTACAAAGTTCCCTTCTTATCTGTCTTGTGGCCCCAGCACCTGCCCAGAGGTGAGCCCTTCTGCCAGGAGGGGTCCAACTGAACGAACGTGTGTGTGGGTTAGGAATTGTCCCACTCACTGCTAGTAACGGAGTCAACTCCAGAGGCTTTCACAGAACTCGTGAAGAGCCTGGAGCTTCTCAGAAACCATCACCCACTCTGGAACTTCCGTGACTCCGGGCTCCATACTCACCTTCCAATCTCAGTTTCGCCTCCACCTTGACCTTTCCTCCTGGGGGCCTGTCCGCAATTGTCCTTCAGATTCTTCCCCTGTTTTTAACCTGAGAGCACCTGTCTCACCTTAGACCTGCTCCCTGCTGGCCTCAGGGTCCCTCCACCGTGTGCACCAGGGGCAGCCGCCTTCTCTCCAGGTTTCGGATAGATTGAGAGCAACCTGAGAAGGTGGCCAACCCCTGAGCTGCCTGGTCAAGCCACGCCCATGGGGTCAGCAGAAAGCCCCTCCTCCTCGGCCTCACCGACCGGACTTCTGCTTCCCTGGGTTTTCCCAGGCCTCCCTATGCACTGTGACAGCCAAAGTTTGCTTTCTACAAAGTCACCTCCAGGCAGTGACTGTCTACCAGGGCACTCCTAAGCCTCCCAGCTAATGATGAGGTCATTCACTCTCCTCTCATTTTCCTTTAAGATAATCCGTTTCCTGACCTACCGTTTTGGCTCACACTGTAAGTTACACCCCTACTTCTCACTGCCAAGCGTGGGTGTCACTGCTGGCTCGGGGAGCGTGGATCTTATAAACTTGCCTCATCGGGAGGCTTTGAGGAGTGACCTCGAGGGACTAGAAAGTAGCTTGTTCTTCACAATCATTGCCCTCCCAAGAACATCCAGGGGTTCAGCCTCAGTGCTAAGACAACTATGTCTCTCCCTGACATATGCTTGCTGCTGGTAATTCTAGGGAAAGCAGAGGGCTGTGCAGGTGCGCCTGCCCCTAGGCTAGGAGAGCTGGCAAATGCCTAGAGACCCAAAGGCCTCATCCTCAGGGCGGCCAACTCTTCTGTTTTAGTGATGTTTTATTGTGATTTACAGTGCAACTGACCGGTTCAAACAATACCACCTGTATTCATAAACTTCTTTTTCCTTTCCGTCCTCACTGCCCGGCTTTAGGTTCACCCCTGTAAATGTTGCTGGTGTCAGAATAGGAACCTCCCTGCACTTTGAATGGGTGAATGTGACCTCTCCCACATTCCCCGGTGCTGTGATTGCCTTAAACACACCAAGGTGCTTGGACACAAAGCCTGTGCCCGGAGCCCTTATGCAGTTTCAGACTGACAGGCCATAGCCCTCCCTACAGACTCAGTGCCATTGTAGATGTTCCTGCGTGGAAAATACATGAACACAAATATCTGCAGTTGACAAACCACCACCATCTTGCAGCCCCAAGAGAGCCTCAGGAATCCTGGTTCCTTTGATATTTCTGCTCCCTGCCCTTGGTGCATAGCCTCCATCCCCAGGATGACCCACAGTCCAGCTGGGAAGAGAGCCAGGGACAAAGCCGGAGGGAACTAGCTCCACACCTCCCAGCCCCAACTGAGTTAGCTTCTTGAGGGTATTTCCTGGAAGCCCTGCCTGTCACTTCTGCTGACACCTCACTGGCCATCTCAACTGCAAGGCAGCCTAGGAAGTGTAGTGTTTCCCTGGATGCATGGATTCCTGGAATCAATTCAGAGTCTGTCCTTAGGGAACCAGAGTGGGGATATTGAGTCACCAAAGATGCAGGTTCCGAGCTGTCCAGTGAAGTCAAGAAAACGGGGAAGGGTTTGAACTCAACTTTGGGTATTTGGAGTGAACAGAGCTGTCTGACTCCTTAGGGGGTGGCAGTGCCCCACTCTGTTAAGTCCTATGCCTGCCCCCAACTCAGCTTCAGCCACAATGATGTAACTTCTTTTCCTTTATGTCCACAGGGCACCTGGCCTGCGGGGAGCCCACTCCTCTGCACCCACCTCACTTCTTGCAGTATTTTGCAGACCCCAGCCCTATGCCTGCACTCCTAGATAGCTGGAGGTAGAGAGCAGGCCCTGGAAGATACTCATTCAGGCCCTGCTCAAGATTCTAGTCCTGGTGTGGACAAGCACCACTTCTGTGTGTCTCTGTGCTTTTTGTTTTGCTGTGAAGACACACTGATAGGTTCACATTGTCGTTTGGACACAACACGCGGGATGCGTGTCCTCACACTAAGCCCTAGTCACACTCTCTGCATTGTTTCTTTTTTTATCCCATTTTTTCCTACTGTGGTAAAGAACATCTCACATAAAATTTACCATTTTAACCACTTTTTTTTTTTTTTTTTTTTTTTTGTTTGATAGAGTCTCGCTCTGTCTCAGCTTCCTGAGTAGCTGGGATCGCAGGTGCACACCAACACGCCCAGCTAATTTTTGTATTTTTGGTAGAGACAGGGTTTTGCCATGTCGGCCAGGCTGGTCTCGAACTCCTGACCTCAGGTAATCCACCTGCCTCGGCCTCCCAAAGTGCTGGGATTACAGGTGTGAGTCACGGTGCCTGACCTCATTTTAACCACTTTTAAGGGTAGAGTTTTCTGGCTGTTTTCATTCATGTCCTGATAGACACTCGGGTTGCTGCCATGTTTTAGCTGTTGGAAAATGCTGCTTTGAACATGGGTAGGCAAGTGGTTTTCAAGACCCTGTTTTCAGTGTTTTGGGTTCAGAGTAACAAATGGAATTGCTGAGTCACATGTTAATTCTAACTTTCTAATTGTAATTTTTGGAGTCACAGCACCTCCACAGCAGCTGCAGCACTCGAACTTTCCCCAGCGGTGCACAGGGTTCCAATTTCTCTGCCTCCTCACCCACACGTGCTATTTTCTGGTTTTTTGGTAGTAGTAGCCTTTCGAACGGGTGTGAGATGGGATCTCATTGTGGTTTTGATTTGCATTTCCCTAATGATTAGTGATGCTAAGCATCTTTTCATGGCTTACTGGCCACTCATACATCTTCTTTGGAGAAAGGTCTATGCAAGCCCTCTGCCCATTTTTGCATTGAGTTGTTTGTTTTTGGTTGTTAAGTTTTATCTGAGCTGTTTTTTCTGGTCGGGAGAGTGGGTTTGTTGGAGGCTCCTTGTCTCTCCCAGAAGGAAGCCAGAATTTCAGAGATGGCCAGGAGGGGGCGAGGCCAAAGGTCCCCCTGGGGAGAACTCACATTTTTCCGTAGCCCCATTGTGTGCCAGCCACCGCACGTTGCAACTGTCTCTCCCTCACTCTTCTGGGCCATGCTGTGACTTTGTTGATGAGGAGGTTGAGGCACAGAGGGGTGGAGGGATGTGCTGCAGGGCCCACAGCTACAACGGGCAGAGCTGGAAATTGCACCAAGTCTGTCGGACGTGGGGGTCTCCTCCGGCCTCGGCTGCATCCCTGGAGAATCTCTGAGACTTCTGGTTAGAGCCTGGGTCTAAGCCAACTCCCGTTATTTTCAAGTGAGGGGAAAGGCCAACAATTGCCACTGCTGACCCACCAGTGTCTGGCACCAGCTGAGGAGTGCAGGCCGCCCGTGTGGCGGTTCGCTGATCCCCCATTGTTCTGCTCCATCTGAAGGGGAAAACTGGGGAAGACAGGAAGGCCAAGGAGCTCAACTCCTGCTTCCTAACGTGGCTCATTTCCTAGTTCCTTTGCTGTATGACTGTCTGGATGGAAGTTTCTGAGTCCTCAAAAAAGAAAAAAAGTGGGTTCTGACATCCTGCATGGCTTGTCCTCTGAGTCCTAAATCTCCAGAAGATTCCTGGCCTCTCTTGAGAGGTCTTTCTCTGATGTGTTTGCATGTCTGTCAGGAAGCAGCAGTGACGCCGGAAGTGGTACAGCCGACCTCACCTGTGCTCTCCCCACCTCCCCTGGATTCGTTTTGTCTTTCAGACTGCTGGGCTCGCGGAAGAGAGACTGTACCTGAAAGCCCCAGCCACCCACCAAATCAGAGGGAAAGAATCCATCTTCTTACGCCATGGCAGGTAATGATTCACTGTTGTGGAGTAAGACCTTTTTTGGTTTTTTCTGAGACGGGATTTAGTTGTATTGCCCAGGCTGGTCTCAAACTCCTGAGCTCAAGTGACCCTCCCACACTGATATGCCAGGTAAGAGTTAGACTCTTTTTTGACGGAGTCTCGCTCTGTCGCCCAGGCTGGAGTACAGTGGTACAATCTCGGCTCACTGCAAGCTCCGCCTCCCGGGTTCACGCCATTCTCCTGCCTCAGCCTCCCGAGTAGCTGGGACTACAGGCGCCCGCCACTGCCCCCGGCTAATTTTTTTGTATTTTTATAGAGACGGAGTTTCACTGTGTTAGCCAGGATGGTCTCTATCTCCTGACCTCGTGATCTGCCCGCCTCGACCTCCCAAAGTGCTGGGATTACAGGCATGAGCCACCACGCCCGGCGCAGGAGTTAGACTCTTAATCAGAAATTGAATACATTGTCTTAAAAAATCCAAGCCACATGGAAGTGTATAAACTATCTGGAATTATTTTGTTTTCTATTTTCTCTCTTGTTTTATTGTTCCTTTCGACTCCCTTCAGAATGTAAGCTCCTCAAAAGTGGGGCCCTGCCTATCCTGTCTTTGCTGTGCCTCTAGGCCCTGTAATTATCCCTGGGCCATAGCAGGGGCTCAAGTGAATGAACCCCAGGAGGCACCTTGGGTAAAAATTCAATAGGATTCTATCTTTACTTTTGCAACTGCTTATCATGCGCATATACACGAACACGCAATCTTGCAACTTTTTTATTTCACCTAACGATGTAACATGGAGAGCCTTTCATGTTAGAACACACAGATTCACCTTATACTATACATTATAGTGTAGATTAGGATTTTCGACCTTGGCACTACTGACATTTTGGGCCAGATAATCCTGTGTTTTGGGGGGTTATCCTGTGCACCATGTTTAGCACCATCCCTGGCCTCTGCCCACCAGATGCCAATAGCACCCCTCCCCACTAACTGTGACAAGCCAAAATGTCTCCAGGCACTGAGAAATGTCCCCTGGCAGGCACAACACTGCCCCCAGTTGAGAACCACTGGTGTAGGTATTTCATTTGCATCTATTCTCCTGTGAAGCCCCTAAGTATAGTTCCTTTATTGAAATAACAGTCTGAGAAAGTCAAATTAAAATGTTAGCCATTAATCTGACTTACAGAATTCAACCTTTGTGGTCAGCCCAATGCCCTGAAACCTGTTGCTTCAAACTGATATGTGTATTTTCTCCTTAAATCTCATTATGAAAACTTTAAATCAAGAGTTTAACATCCTCTTAAAGGTTACCAGGGTAAATTTAATTAAGCAAATCACCAGGCTGCCTCCCAGAGGAAGTTGGTATATAATCCTGGAGACTCTTTCCAATGAGGAAAATACTGCTCCAGAAGCAGTATTGGTGTGAACGATACAGCCAGTGCTGGGAAGGCCTGATTCTCTTCCTAGAGTCCTCTTTGTTATCAGCATCACCATGAAAGATGGGCTCCATGTGGCCCTGCCTTCCCGCGAGACCAGCGGGTCTGATTCCTCATGTTTTGTTTAAGTGTCAGATTTTGATGGACCGGGGGAGATGGACACAGAACCGTGCCACACTGAAAGGTGCCTGTAGCTGATATGTGTAAATGTGGGTTAGCATGGAAGATTAATTCCAGCTGTTCTTTATTTTGATGTTAGGGAGCTGGTCTAAACCTTCTTATAGAGCACAATCAAATTAAGTTGGTCTTTTAAAAGATTTAGTGGTGGTATTTTTGAGGAGATATAATTTGACCCGTTGTATTTTTGTAGATTGGTAATCTCAAGTGATGTTGAGCTATGAATAACTGGATTTTTTAAATGCCCATTACTTTAAAACTGCCACCTATTAGAAAGTTTGGTATTTCTGGGGCCAGGTGCGGGGGCTCATGCCTGTAATCCCAGCACTTTGGGAGGCTGAGGCGGGCAGATTACCTGAGGTTGGGAGTTCGAGACCAGCCTGACCAACATGGAGAAACTGTCTCTACTAAAAATACAAAAAATTACCCAGGCTTGGTGGTGCATGCCTGTAATCCCAGCTACTCGGTAGGCTGAGGTAGGAGAATTGCTTGAACCTGGGAGGCAGAGATTGCAGTGAGCTGAGATCATGCCATTGCACTCCAGCCTGGGCAACAAGAGCGAAACTCTGTTTCAAAAAAAAAAAAAGAAAGAAAGAAAGAAAAGAAAAAGTTTAGTATTTCTGGCCAAGTGCGGTGGCTCATGCCTGTAATCCCAGCACTTTGGGAGGCCAAGGCGGGTGGATCACTTGAGGCCAGGAGTTTAAGACCAGCCTGGCCAACATCACAAAACTCCATCTCCACTAAAAATACAAAAAATTAGCTGGGCGTAGTGGCACACACCTGTAGTCCCAGCTACCCAGGAGACTGAGGCATGAGAATCGCTTGAACCTGGGAGGCGGAGGTTGCAATGAGCTGAGATCATGCCACTGCATTTCCAGCCTGGGTGATAGAGCGAGACTGTCTCAAAAAAAAAAAAGAGAGAGAGAGAAAGAAAAGACACTTTGCTATTTCTTGGCTTCAATTACTATGATGCACCTAAATGTTCAATTTTCATCTTAGTCTTCACTGAATTTAACAGAGAGAGGTTGTTCTTCAAGAGGAACTGTTTCTTATGCTGATTTAGGTAAGAAAGTACTCATTGTCTATGCGCACGAGGAGCCCAGGTCTTTCAACGGATCCTTGAAGAATGTGGCTGTAGATGAACTGAGCAGGCAGGGCTGCACAGTCACAGTGTCTGATTTATACGCCATGAACTTTGAGCCGAGGGCCACAAGGAAAGATATCACTGGTGAGTCATGGGATAAATGCTCTATTTGTAAAAACCATCTTTATGTTTTTTACTTTATGTTGACTTCCAGCTGCAAAATGACATTATAGAAGCAAGCTAGCTTCACTTTCCAAAAACAAGTAGATAGCACTGAGATGATCACCAGCAATATCCCAGAAGTCAAATATGAGGATGAAGTAGTTCCCAAGACCACATAAGTGAAAAAACTGCAAGCAGACAGTAAGAGATTGGACTATCATATCCACAACACCCCTCCTCACAAACTACCCAGCACCAACTGTGTGGGAAATTTCCTCCCACATCAGAGGTTCTACACTGGAAAAAGAGATCCAGGTGGACAATCAGCTTCCCAATTTTCTGGGATTCCCAGAAGCAGGCAGGAAGGAGACCTGTTCCTGCCTCAACCCACAGGAAACATCAGGAGTGCCTAAAGGAAGAAATATTCCTGACAACAGCCAGAGACAAAGGAGGGAGATGGGAGTATCATCCCCAGCCCTGGAAACTCTGATCTGTAAATTAGCCAAAGGAGATGCCAAACCAGAGTGGCTGTTCAGCAGCACCACACTGTGGAGGTACATTCAGCAAGTTTCCTGGGCATGAACTGCTAGCCAGCCTTCCCACACTACCATGCTATCCCCTTTGGAACCTCTCATATTCAGGACTGGCATTACTCAGAACAGTTACTAGAGCTGAGGCAAACCCGGGCATGAACCACCATCTAGTGCCGAAAAGGAGGCAGTGACTTAGTAGAGGAAAAAAAAAAAAAAAAGAAATGTAATAAGAAAATTGCAAAGACTTTCTAAGCAAATATATGTAATAAAAATGAAAACAAGTCAGACATAGAAGACTGAAATAAATAGATGTCATCCACAAGAAATAATAGTAAACAGGCAGCCATAACCTCTCCACATAGACAAAGCAAGGAACCAGTGACTGAATCTAACGAGATGGCACTGTTTGGGCTCTCTGACCAAGAATTCAAAATAGCACTTTTAAGGAAATTCAGTAATCTTCAAGATGACAGAGAAAAGCAATTCAGAAATGTATCAGCTAAATTTAACAAAAAGATTGAAATAATTTTTTAAAAAATCAAACAGAAATCTTGGAACTAGAAATACATTTGCTGAAAAATTCGTTAGAGGCTCTCAACAGCAGAATGGATGAAGCAGAAGAAAAAATCAGTGAGCTCAAAGACAGGCCATTTGAAAATACACAGAGGAGAAAAAAGAAAAATGTATGGAGATTTCATATAAAATATAGAAAATTACCTCAAAAGACCAAATCTAAGAATGATTGGTGCCTAAGAGGGAGCTGAGCAAGAGCAAGGCATAGCAAGCTTATCCAAAGAAGTAATAACAGAAAATTTTTCAAAACTTGAGAAAGAGACAAATATCCTGGTCATAGAATAAACAGATTTGACTCAAATAGGACTACCCCAAGGCATATAATTATTAAACTCTCAAAGGTCAAGAACAAAAAGAGGATCCTAAAAGCAAATAACATATAAAGGAGCTCCAGTTCATCTGGCAACAGACTTCTCAACAGAAAACATACAGGCCAGGAGGGAGTGGGACATTTTCAAAGTGCTGAAAGAACACAACTGTCAACCAAGAATACTATACCCAGAAAATCTAGCCTTCAACTCTGAAAGAGAGAGAAAGTCTTTCCCAAACAAAGAAAAGCTGAGAAAATTCACCACCACCAGACCCACCTTATAAGAAATGCTAAAGGGAATTCAATATGAAAGAAAAACACTAATGTGCAAAAAGAAAACATTTGAAGATGTAAAACCCACTGGTAAAAGTAAGTAAGTACACAGAACACTCTAATACTATTAGGTTGTGTCTAATCCACTCATTACTAGTATTAAGTCTAACAGACAAATCTATCAAAAACAATAATCACTACGGTGACTTGTTAAGAGTTAAGAGATACACAATATGAAATATGTAAATTGAGACACAAATACTAAAAAATGTGGAGGTGAGCATGAAATTAAAGTGTAGAGTTTATTTTTTTAGACCTGCTTGGCATTGAACAGGACATCCAGCCTCTCTTAGGTCTCAGTTTGCTCTCTGGTAAATTGAGAAATACACCAGATTCACCAGTTGTTGTGAAGAAAGGTGATGTGTGTAGAGCACGGCATCTGCTAGGTAGGAAGAGCTCAGTCAGTGGCCCTCCCAGACTGCTTCTCTTTCCCTAGCTTGGACCCGCGGTGCAGCTTCTGATCAGGTTGCAGCAAGTCTTTGACTTGCTCTGAGGAGTCCAGTATACACAGTGCTACTGGGATGGTTGGGAAGGGCTGTGGATGCCCACCTAGGAGTGAGAATGTTTGGCCTCTTCCCCCACAGCTACTCTTTCTAATCCTGAGGTTTTCAATTATGGAGTGGAAACCTACGAAGCCTACAAGCAAAGGTCTCTGGCTAGCGACATCACTGATGAGCAGAAAAAGGTTCGGGAGGCTGACCTAGTGATATTTCAGGTTTGTTTTCCTCCAATTAATATATTGAATCAGATTCATCTTATGTACAAACTCTTTCTGAATATTGAGTTTTGTGCTGCTTCTAGAAGTGGCATCAATGCTTTTAGCACCGTTGCACACTTACTGAGTAAATATAACCTAGTTACAACACCTAGTTACAACACTTCACCTAGTTACAACACTACTTTAAACACTTTACCTAGTTGTAACACTACTTTTAACACTTTACCTAATGGGGTAAAGATATCCATGTAGCCAATATCACTCGCTCCAAATCCTGACTCTCATGTAAAGAGGAATGAAGGATCTTTCCATTAGCCCAGTGGTCCAAGAATCATCTGAAACCTGCCAGTCTTATTGCTTCCCTTGTCTTCCAGTTCCTGCCCTGAAACATTCTGGGGCTGCTTGAGAACCACATTTCTCTGCACAAATGTTTATCAGGGTAAATCAGGCCAAATGCATCTCCTTAAATAGCCTGACTTAAATATCCTGATCATTAAGAGGAACATCTCTGCTTTCTATCCTCTCAGTGGTTGCTTTGCCCCCAACCCAGCCACCTTCCTGTGTTTGTTCAGAAGGAGGTGATGCCACTGCAGAGTGAACTGGCCCCACCAAATGGCCTCCAGGAGTGCTCACTCATCAGGCCACTTCCCGCCCTGCAAGGAAGATGTGCAGGCATGGCTGTGACTGTGGAAGCCTGGCAGCAGAGTACACACATGAGCTTTGAGGGTATGGTTGGGTTGACAGAAATTCCTGTCCAACTAGAAAGAAAGGGGCATCTATTATAAGGGCTCTGGTCACTTGGGCCTCCTGGATCCCACGGGCAGAGCTGTAGCTGCTCTCATCCTTGGATTTCCATCTGCTCTTTTCTGCCTCTTGGCTCTGTTCTCTCTCACTGCATGCCAGGGACTGGATCCCCTAGATCCAGAATTTCCAAGCATGGGATCTGACTGGTTCAGATCGTGTCTGTTTTCCAGCCCTGCTTGAGGACGGGGAATGGGTGGGAGAACGAGAGCACTGTTCTCATGAGCCCACCATGTGAGTGCAAGGCAGGGGATAAGGGGCATGTGACCACTTTCCAGACAAAACTATGTGTCCAGAATGAGGAGGTTCCCAAGCCCTCAGAAAAGCAACCTGCATGTGCGGGAACCCTACCCAGGCTTGCCTCTGTGCACCTTTTCCTGACACCAGCCCTTTCTTTACTCAGTGACCATGAGCTGCTAATCTGGCCAAAGTGCAGGATGTCCTTCGTCCTAATTACAGGTGGGTGGACTCATAGTCCTCAGGCCTGGGTGACCATACAGTTTACCATCTATACTTTTAACACCATGCCAGTACGATGGGCCTGTATCCTGGGGCACGTGGTCCCAGCAGAACCACACTGAGCTCTCTGCTCTGCTTCTCCTGTCCCCCTCGGGTCAGCCGGCCACATGGAGCCCGCTTCTCCTCCTCGCTCCCACTCCCCTCCCATAACCCAGTGGTTGGGTAGGCTAAGACCTGGCCTTTCTATAATGGCCTTTGTTTTATTTCACTTCATTTCACTCCATTTCCCTACCTTCTCTTTTTTTCTGATACTTTGTCCAGAGGGTCTGCATTATAAGTTATTTTTTATTCAACATTAATAAAAATGTCATTCGTCACTACTACACCACTAATATCAGAGCCCACCACTCACTGAGCATTGATTCTGTTTTGGGCACTGTGGTGTGTCCTCAAATCCTCACCAGGATGCTGTGAGCTGTGTACTATTAGTAGCCCTATTTGATGAATCAGGAAAAAGGAGGCACAAGGAGGTCAAGTAACTTGCCAATGTCACACAGCAGCAGGTTGTGGAGCCTGGGTTTCAATGCCAAGTCGTGAGTTTGTTTTCTATTGAAAGCACACGAGACATTGACTTCCACCTTTGATAACAGATGATTGCCTATGTTTATTTCCCTTTCCAGGCGGTAACACTGGATGTAATGTTAGGGCATCTATGGGATAGGGAGATCTTACTGCTGGTCTATGGAATACAAACATATGACTTTAGTTGGTGTCAAAATCCATAGCCGCTAGCACCTAACTCAGTCCGACTCCCAGATGCTAACAACACGCCCCAAGCAGGGGAAAGGGCATGCTTTTCCCCACCCTTCCTTTCGATTGGCTTAGTCAGAGACTGCTGCTCCAATGCCAGCGTCATGCAGAGCTCCTCATCCCCTCCCTGCCTGTCCGGGGCCAGCATCAGGGGCTGTCATCACTGGGGGATGCAGAGCTACCTGTAACAGCAACAAGGACCACTGTCATCCCGTTCCCGTCTCACGTCCCCACTGCACCTTTCAGAGCTGACCACATGAGTTACCCTCACCTGCCTAGCTGCCAGGGAAGAGGAGGGCTGTGGGCTTCATTCCAAATCACCAGATAGACTAAACTAGGAAACCTGAGGTGAGCCGCAGCCTCAGTTTCTCTTTGGTGGTGTTGCCCACAGTTCCCGCTGTACTGGTTCAGCGTGCCGGCCATCCTGAAGGGCTGGATGGATAGGGTGCTGTGCCGGGGCTTTGCCTTCGACATCCCAGGATTCTACGATTCCGGTTTGCTCCAGGTATGGCTCTTGGAAAAGGATCACTGTGGATAGTTGGAGTGAGGGGACGGAGGGATGCATCTTCTATCAAGTTATATTTCTAAATTGCTTTCTTTTCTTAGCAAATATTCGTTGAGCTCCCACTATGTACAAAGCACCATGTGCTGCACACAGTGGGCACGGCGTCATGTCTGAAGTCGTGGCGATTTTTGTCTAGTGGGGCTGCAGACACATCCACAGCATACCGCACACATGGCAAACAAGGGAGTGGGCCAGTTGTCAGGTGACGGGGGACCTGGGCAACCTTATGTGGGCAACCCAGCGGTCAGCCCTGGCTCCAGAGGGAGTATCTCCTTCTTGGTGCAGAGTCCAGCCCTGGCCTGGCACAGTTCACTCCCCTGAGCGTCATGTACCTGCTGTGAGACCAAGATCCTGTGACACCCACATGGCAGGGTGAGGAGAGCTTGGAACCTGGTAGATGTGCAACACGTGGTAGCTACGAATTCTTACTAAAAGAATGATTTTTAAGGCCCAGTGCAGTGGCTCACGCCTGTAATCCCAGCAATTTGAAAGGCCAAGGAGGGTGGATCACTTGAGGCCAGGAGTTCGAGACCAGCCTGGCCAACATGGAACCCTGTCTCTACTAAAAATACAAAAATTAGCCAGGCATGGTGGTAGGTGCCTATAGTCCCAGCTACTTGGGAGGCCAAGGCAGGAGAGTGGCTTGAACCTGGGAGGTGGAGCTTGCAGTGAGCCGAGATCACATCATTGCACTCCAGCCTGGGTGACAGAGTGAGACTCCATCTCAAAAAAAAAAAAAAAAGGAATGATTTTTAAATTCTAAAAGCTTCAGAAAATAAATGCATGTAAGGGAAACATACGGAGTAACCAAGATGTGTCTTGGACCACGAATGGTGCTACCACTTACTGAGCGGCCCTGTGTGCTGGGAACCTTGTCCTATGGCCAGTGCCTCGGCTGTATCCATCACACATGGCGTCCTGGAAACCTGGTTTCCACCAGCAACCTGGGCATGTTAGAGCTTCTGTGTTGGCTTGGTCCATTCACTTGGATTGTCTCCTCCTCCTGTTGGGATGTCACTGTCACCTATGGATGGGAGTGTTGCATTTGTCCATCCCTGGAGGGTGACCACACACATATTCCCTGCTGGCTGTGCTAAGCCCGTGTGCTGGAGGCTCGGTAACATTTCCTTCCTCTTCTGGAATCCACACAAATGCATCTGCTTTCTCCCTTGCAGGGTAAACTAGCGCTCCTTTCCGTAACCACAGGAGGCACGGCCGAGATGTACACGAAGACAGGAGTCAGTGGGGATTTTCGATACTTCCTGTGGCCACTCCAGGTAGACCAGCTGCAAGTGGATCCCTTGCTAGTTGGCACACGCACACACAGACACAGATGCACACATCTATACACACACACACACGTACACACATACATGCCCTCAGCTCCCCGAGGGGTGAGATGAGATGAGATGGAAGTGTGATGCCCCACACCATTTGGACTCCCCTGGATACAGAAAATTATAACATTTTGACCCTTTTAAATGTTTTACTTGACAGATTTGAAAAGCTTGACCGATAGGGAAAATGTGCCCTAATGATAGCTTTTGATATAGTTTGGGCAGAAGCTAAGCCAAACCTGCTTAGCCTGATGTCTGCTCTTGGTCAGCAGAGAAGCCCCCGGGTGGCCCTGCGTGTGTTGTGATCCGTGCGGGTGAAGCTGTCCACATGCTCTGCCAGTGCTTGGTGAGAGCAGCACTGCCCTTGGACCCTGGCAAGTGGCACCCCAGGCCCTACATTCTGATGGCCGCATGCTGGCCTCTGCTGGCATTGCCAACCCCCATACGGGCAAGGGGCCTATGGAGCCAGTCTGCACCCACCTCCTAGGCATGGTGGCATGTGCCTGTAGTACCAGTTACTAGAGAGGCAGAGGCAGGAGGATCACTTGAGCCCAGTGAGCTACGATCATGCCACTGCACCCAGCTGGGGCAACAGAGTGAGACCTCATCTATAAAAATAATAAAATAAATCTTTTTTTTTTTTTTTTTGAGACGGAGTCTTGCTCTGTTGCCCAGGCTGGAGTGCAGTGGCCGGATCTCAGCTCACTGCAAGCTCTGCCTCCTGGGTCTACACCATTCTCCTGCCTCAGCCTCCAGAGTAGCTGGGACTACAGGCGCCCGCCACCTCGCCCGGCTAATTTTTTGTATTTTTTTAGTAGAGATGGGGTTTCACCATGTTAGCCAGGCTGGTCTCGATCTCCGGACCTCGTAATCCGCCCGTCTCGGCCTCCCAACGTGCTGGGATTACAGGCGTGAGCCACCACGCCTGGCCAAAATAAATCTTAAATAAATGTTAATAAATAAAATATGGCATTATAATCTTAGGGGACCACTATCGTACATGCAGTCCATCACTGATCAAAACATCATGCGATGCATAACTACATGTGTTAATTGGCTGTTCAATTAAAACTTCATAGTCAATTCAAAAAACAAGACAAAGAAGAAAATTAAGAAACAGGCCCAAACATGGCAATAAAACAATAGCTATGAATAGATTAAACTTTTCTATGAAAAAATGGAAACTCTCATATGCTGAGTCATAAAATAAATAAATAAATACAATCACGTTGCCTGAGGGAAAAAAAATGGAAACGGTGGTGTGTGGGCCTCTCACTGCTCACCTGACAGGGCAGGCCTAGGTGAGGGTGTGGGTTTTAAAGGACGTAATGCAGAGGGTTGAGTGTGATATTTTTAGGAAAAAAAGTGATCCTCTTTGAAAGGAGAAAGTATGTGGTTCCAATTACTTACAGTCTACTGAAGGAAATAATAATTTACAAGCCTGACCTTGCTTCTTCACAGGCCAACCGGTCTCTTACGTGTCATTAGCCAAGTTCAAATTCTTCTTGCTTTAAAAAAAAAATCTTTACTTTTTTTTCAGTTTGCAGAAGTACATTTTATGACAAAAAAAAAAAAAGAGACGATATGAAATATAAAAAGAGAAAGTCCCTTTAATCCCCCCACCTCAGAAAGAATCACTTTAAATCATTTGATTTATTTTCTTAAGGCCTATATATTTACTCACATACATAATTTTTATTATAGGTTTATTACGTTTACTGCTCTTATGGTATATTGTAAATACTGCTTAAAATTTGTTGTTTGCATTTAACAGATATCTTGAACAAACTTCCATGGTACACATTATAGCTAGAATAACCTCATTCTGGAATAATCTATAGTGTGAATGTACCATAATTTGCCCAATCAAGCAAAACTATCATGTTTGGTGTCTGAATCAGTTGCAAGGATTGTAGGTTAATTGCAGTTATAAAAATAGAACTTGGAAACTCCAGCTGCCCCAGCTTCTTCACTGCTCCTATGCAAGGCTTGCATCCTAAAGCCATAGGGAAGTTTAGCTTTCACTTGCCTTGTAACATTAAGGTTGTTTCATGATTTTTTGCAGGTTTGTTTCACACCATTTCCCCCCTTACATCATTCAACTGAATGGTATGTAACAGGTGTAGTTTCTAATGAGTTCTTTTCCTCCCCTGTGGCTTTAGCACGGCACATTACACTTCTGTGGATTTAAAGTCCTTGCCCCTCAGATCAATTTTGCTCCTGAAATTGCATCCGAAGAAGAAAGAAAGGAGATGGTGGCTGCGTGGTCCCAGAGGCTGCAGACCATC